GGCGACTTCGGCACAGTTCCGGATGAATTCCTTTAGCTTAGTGAAGTTTGGTTCCCTTCGTAAACGACCAATAATCATTGCCTCCGCCGCCCATCTCTGCAGTATGTCAGTCAGCAGGCATCGTACTTCTTCCTCTAGGGTGTGATGTGCGTTTAAATCAGCTTCATGTTTCATTTGAGGCAGGGCAATGAAACAGTTTTGCATCTTCATTACCAGTAGNGACTTTACGCGGCAGTAATGCTTCAAATACAGGAATTTCTGCCGTGGATCGGCAAACCGACATTCAACAAAATTGTCAAATCATCTAATAAATCTCAATTAATTTCTGAGGTTCCCGTCGAATGGCTTCAGCTCCACCTTGGACAGATCTATCGACATCCGGCGGTATATTACTCTAATTGGTGGTTGAGCCACTTCCGGCGTCAGTCTAATGGGCAGCGTTTCTTCCGTCGTGGCATGCTCAGTCGAGCAAAGTGGCATAGCCTCTGTTTCCCTAAGCTTCATCGACTTAATTTCCTGCATTAACTCTACAATCTTACGGCGATATTTATCAGACATTTTAACATCAGCATCGCGATCTAAGGAACATAAGCTTCTAGCACTAACAGGATTAACGGAATGACAAATGTGAGAAACAGAAAGCCCCTAATGCCCCAGTGACTTGCCGGGTACTTCCTGTTTTTCCTCCGCGATTCTTCTTTGTTTGAACAACATTCTCCTGTTCTACACTGTGCGAATTCGAGTACGGTATCTCTCAAATAGATCAAAGAGTAACGCGTAGCCGAATCCGGATCACAGAACGTCAATAAAACGAATGATCCAGCAAGTTTCTACAGTAATGCATTTTTAAACGATCAAATAAACAAATGAAAACTGTACACACCTCGAATTGATCTCGAAAAAACTTGAAAACAAGAGCCAAGTGCTACCGTGAGCGTAATGCAACAAGTATGAACGGAAGAAAATAAGCCTGGGTAAGAACAGCACGCTCACCGTTACGCTGCACACAAACGAGCCAAATGTGAGCGCTCAAGTCGCGAGTAAAACAAGTAGGGTACGAATGAAGCAGATAAACAAACGAAGTCAAATGGTAGGGTCAATGTGTAAATATACAAAGAGAGTGGGATGTCAAATGTCTATGTAGGTGTGAGGCGGATGATGTTGAGTAAATGGAACGTGAAATGTGGAACCGAGATAGATTGATTGGGCATTACAAGAGGAATTTTCAGAAATTGATGATTATATTTGAAGTCACGGAAGCACCGTCAGTCCTGCAACTGATCTGTGTGTCAGGTTGCACAGTTGAGTGCAGCGCTTCCGTTATCAACTTCGACATTGCCCGCTCAAAGAGAGTTGGTAGTCTAAACCAAGTTCGTACGCATTAAGCTCTTAGTGGGGAACAGTCATGCATGTCAGCAAACGGTGAGCAGCTTTTCGACTTGTTTACAGATAATCTGCCCACAATAAGCAAACAATGATATTCGGGTCATGGGGTTGTTTTCACAGCAACAACCAAAGCCTGTTAAACAAGCTATGTGAGCTCCATCTCGAAGCCAACCAACACCGGACACTATTGATCGGTAAAACAGAGACCTGTGATCGTCTTGAGATATCGGATACCAAACTGGATATTCCTGAACTAGACATCCTACCATAAGATAGAACAGACGGAATAAGTGGAGGGTGTCATTTACATTAGCAGAAAGCTAAGATCTGTGAGGGTCATGGATCCTGTACTAGAAAGAGTACCGGAGAGAGTCTGGACAGCCATAAAACTCAACGGCAAAAGGTAATGCCTGGTATGCGTTGTCTATAGGCCACCAACCCGCTCACAATGGATGAAATCTGCTGTAATCAACGCACCAAAGCATGTAAGGAGATTAAACTATCACCACCTTCTGATAATGGGTGATTTCATTTTACCGGGGATCTTTTTAAGTACGTTGACCTGCCAAGCGGGATCTGGGTCCATAACCTAACGGTGATAGACCTAGGGTAGCACAAGCTCGTCCGGCAAGCCACCCGGTGGCAAAGAAACTTTAGACCCTCGGTGCTCGATTGGGTTCTTATCAACAAACTCCACATGATTGACCAGCTCCAGGATTTTACACAACTGGGATTCGGCGACCATGGTGTCATAAGATTCACATTCGTACACACCTCAGAACTGATACGGTCGACAAGGTCCACTCGCTGAAACACATGTAAGACCGATATTCCTGGCATGTGAGCCTTTCTGAAGTCAGTCCCATGACTCTTGAACCCTTTTTACGTCAAGGATCATTGGAGCAAAGTGAGGCCGATCCTCATCGAGACCATGCGTAGGTTTGTACCGCGGACACGATTCAAACGAAGATTCAAACCGGAACAGTTACATCGCCGCCGTACAATTAAGACATTGACGCTGAAAAGACGCGCGTGGGACCAATACCAATGATCCCAGACCCCCTAAGATTACGAGGCCTACGTTGAATTACACAATCAATGCACGTACGAAGGAAGCATGACATCATTCAGCACCAGAGGCAGTTCTTAAACCGATCACTGCGAAACCGAGGAGTTTCTGTAGGGACATCTCCATGAGTACTACTCCACAGTATTCAGCTCAGAACTTGTTAATCGGATCGACGGAAGCGGTCTTCCAGCAGGAGACTTCATACCCGGCAGGTTTATGGAACCTGTGTTGTTTTCCCCTACAAATGTCGGACTCAAACTGCAAGTCCCGTAGCAAAACAGTCACCGGGACTTGATGAAATATCACCTATACTACTGCAGTAGTACGCAGAGCAGTAAGAACCACAATTCAACAGACTGTTCGCCCAGACTATGAGAATTCGCGTGGT